ATCACCTTTCGCTCCATCAGTGGCTTCGCTCTGCCATCCCTGATTCACAACAACCAACCTCTCCTATAGGTTTCCTATTTTTGAAACTTCCGCCACCGCCTTGTGCGGTACTACTGGTAGGATAACAATGGATGACAATCTTCTGTAATGGACACAACTCTGTGCTCTTCAGCCCAATACAGCGACTGACAAGTCCGATGGGGATAATGAAGATTTCAGTGCTATCTCAGGGCTCATGTTTCTATGAAAGTGGTTTGTTTTCAGCTCAGCAAAGCAGTACTGCAGTGGTTTGTTCCTCCCCATTGAGGCGATGCGACATATCCAAAGCGAAGAGTACAACATGGCATAGTTTACCGATAGTGAGATGGTGAATGGCCATTGGCAACACGCCAATCATCCGTTACTTCACCACAGTGAGCAAAAAAGTGCTGCTATCCTGGATCCTTCCTCTTGGTCCGTCTTTTTAGGCATTCAACTTCACCCCAAATCGACGATAAACAAGATTTGCCAGTGTTGTCCCTGCTAGACAATAGCTCAGAACCAAGACTTAAAGTCACTTCCACTTTCTCAAAAAGTAAACACTACAAGACCTTCAAGGCTTTGCTTCCCAAAATCTAAGCGATTGAGTCGTTTTGGAGCCCCACAGGTAAAACTCCAAATTTTAGGTCAGCAACTCTCGGGCTATGTTGGTTTTGCCGCGACAGACGCTTCATGATAATTTTGATACGTACGATCTCTGGTTCGCTTTGTTTTTTGAGAATTGAATCAATGGAACATCTATCCAAGCCATGTATCTTCTGCTACTGAAAAAGAGGTCTAGAATCTGAAATCTAGAATTGAACAAGACTTCAGGAGAGACTATTTGTTTGAAGCGTTTGCCAGGTGGCTCTCGAAAGAGACAACGCGCCCCATCCTCTGATGAGGCGCCAATCCCTTCTCTCATGGCTTACCATTGATGGAACGTGCTTAATGGAGCCTGCACCCAGACCATCCATGGTTTTTGTAGTAAGATTACCCCATGGCCCATTTCCCATGTAGGCTACCATCATGCTTCTGGGTGGTTCTTATTTGAGTTACTCTGATGTGTCCATTTGCATACACTCAGCTATCCGTGGCTCCAGTTTCAGGGCATTGTTGTTGCTACTCTTTCGGGCGAAGTTTTGCACTGGTCACGGCCGTGGGACTTCTCCAGGAGGCAGCGAAAGCAACACAAAGTTCAAATCTCGGATGCAGTGAGGGTTTGATGTTTCCGACATTTCATGATGTTCCTCACCAAGAAATGACACAATTACTTGGTACTTGCTATGAACACTGCAACAGAAATGTGTTATCTCTCATCATCTCTCTCCATTGACAGCGCCAACAACTTTCTTACCTAGGCCTAGCTCCGCAAATGCCGTGCAGAACTTGGAGCTTGGTAATGAGAAGAGCTTCACTGCAGCCATTTGGAGCCCAAAGTGCTGGACCAAATGTTGGCATTGAGATTTTGAGGCCAGTGGATCCGCGACGACTTCGGATGGTACAGGATCAGCAGTGTCCATGCCAGAAGAGAAATGGAAGGGATTGGTGCCATGGATAGTGGGTTAGTAGATATGGATGTGTCATGATGTCATCATGTGTTTTGGGTACTTATAGGTTTTAGGGTTTAGAGACCACTGTTGCCATTGTGTCTTTGGGTGCTTGGGTGCATCTGTATCGCTTTTCACCTCCATTTTCCCCTTCAAAATTCCACGCAGCCAGGATTACTCTGATGTCGCCTGAAGTCGGATCAGCAGGGAAAAAAGGGAAAGGATGGCCGCTGTTCATGCCACAACTTTACCTAATGAAGGAATGGAAGCTTGCCCCGGACCACGTCTTTGACAGATGAGTTTGTCAGGGATACTCACCGTTTGTCCAACCTCCAAGGAAAAGAGAGAGAGAGAGAGAGTGAAGGTGGGTGGAAGATCAAACCTAAGTTTGATAGAGTTTGAGACATGTATCTCAGCATAACTCAGCTTCAAGGGCTAGTTTTACCAAAGGGATCATGTCTGTGTCCTGTTTCTTGGCTACGCAAAATCTGCAGAATACCGATCTTGATCGAAATTGGAAAACGGTTTGTTTCTCGTTCATGATAGAGTGAGATGTCTGCGACAACTAGAAACTGCTCCATGTCAAAATAGTCTAGTCATGTCTAGTCATCACATATCACCGTGAAGGCCATTGGTGCACTGAAAAGTCCGTCAGAGGAAATCTCCCTTTTCTGTATGCACCTATTCATTCCATTTCATTCCATTTTGCTGCAATGATTTGCCAGTCGAGATGAAGAAGGCAAAGTCTCCAGCAGATAACGATCTTTCAGGTCGAGCTCAGGAGGTTAGACGTCTTTCAGGTCAGGACATTTGGACGGTATTTCAATAGAAAAGAAACATTTATGCTGAGTAGCATCACCCAGACAAAGCAAAACATGTCCTTTTTGTCCCAGAAAAAAAAGGACTTTGTGATCTTTGTGCAAGAATTGACATTGATATTAAGGCCAGCTCTGTTGTGCCATGGATCAGCCCTGTTTGTGTGGCACCATTTGCCCACATTATGCTCGCTTTTGCAGCAGATGTGGACAGCGGCTGGAAGGGTCGCCAGTCATGAGGAGAGAGGAGACACCAGAGCATCTCAGCTTCAACAGGATCCATGGTGAATCGTGAAGCGCGCCTGCATCTTCCTAAACTGTCCGCTCATCAAAAGTGATGAGAGTTCGTACTATCTTGTACTGTTTCATCCGCACAACCTCTGCACATGGCCACTTTCCTGTGTATTCCCCAACGTTGGTCGTGATCGTTTATGGGACACTAAAACCCCTGAACCTTCAACAACCAAGTCGCAAGCCTATTCCGGCATATAGCTCAATTTGGCAAGGCGTTGGATCTAGTTATGAATCCAATGGGGTAGGAAGGTTCGGAGGATTGTCCCAGAGTTGAACATTGCTACTTAGTCATTGCATTCCAAGAGGTCAGAGGCAGAAAATGACTAATTGTACGAGCAAAGCTGCCCAGCATTTGCACACTGTGTTTTTTCTTGAGCATGGTCTTTCTTTCACTTGATCACAGACCGGCTTTACTTTACCACACTTGAAGGATTCAACAGGATTCACATTTCTGCGCGTTTCTGCACTCCATAATGGTCATTTACTTGGCAGTTTGATCTTAGCATAAGTGGGCAATGATTGGCTCCAGAAATCTCCACAACACAACACAGTACTGGTACGACATTCTGCTGGGATGTCTCCTGAGACACTTCCGGTGGATGAGGCATGTTTTAGATTGGTTTCGAAGATGTGAATAATATAGAATCATTGTGGTAGTACTATAGGAATCCAAGAGACGGATTTCTACTCCCAAAGCACCATAGATGTCTGGTCTGTCTAGAGACGTCTTACTGCAAGAGTTTGGATTTGCTCTGTATTATGAGTCGTCCATTTACAATGAAAGCTCGGATATTGATTGGATATAACGCAGGTACAAGTATAAACTTGACCTTGTCAACGGAATCAAACTGCCAAAGCCTATCAACCACATCAAATTACGATTATATACTATATATATAATATATATTTATATAATAGTTATATTTATATATAATGATACACAATGATACATAATTATAATATGTTATATATATATAAACCGTGAATGCCAAATGCTTGGTCCACCACACGGATTTCTTCGGATTCTGTTCCACAGATTCCACAGGTTGCTAGGACACTGGGATGCAGCCTGGCATGGAACTCAGATGTTTGAAGCACAGCAAACTGGCGGTGAACCAATTACATCTAATTACAGTCTGGTTGGTGGTTTGGAACATGTTTTATGTTCCATAATATATGGGATAATCCTTCGCATTGACTAATATTTTTCAGAGGGGTTGAAACCACAAACCAGCAGTATGTGTGTTTTGTTTCAACAACATACATTAAATAAAGTAAATATGAAGAGAAGTTCTATTAGCTTTTGATACATGTTCATACCAATCAAAGAAACGTCGTCATAGACACGGCACCGCAGAAATTCATGTTCCCAGCGCCAGGCAGGAGCACCTGTGGTGACCAGATCAATGCAACCCGGCAATGGACACCAGTTCCATCACCGTCATTGGAAATGGAAATGGCAGCATCATATAAACTGTCCATATAACTGTCCCATGTTTCAGAAATTTCAGCACATTGTGAGATTTTGTGTTTGAATTTATTTGTAGGTGCAAAAAATGGCATTCGCCAAGCTTCCCAATGTCCCTGGACCACACCACAGGCCCTTTGGTCGACTTTTAGCGATGGAGCAAACCAACCAGGATATTCCTCACGATGTCGATGACTGTGATGTGCTTGATGTTTTGTCGAGCCCTTTTGTACAGCCATGTGCTCAGTGGATGATGACTCTGGCAGTAGTTTTCACCACCTTTGGCGCCTGAGCCGCAGGAACTTCTAAAGATGGCGGAGGAAGACGTTTGGCGTTTGTCAGAAGAAATGGCCTGATACTTATAGCAGTGAATTGGTCAGGTGGTGGAGAAGTAGAGGCGCTGGAAGCAATATGATTCTACTGTCAGAGCCAGCCAGTGTTTCCTGATCTTATCAAGTATCAAGTACATTCAAGTACTACATACTTGTATACTGTAATTACTAGATTTGGCTATATGTATATGTATAATATGTATATATATATATATATACATATGTATGTTCAATACAGCATGTCTTGGTTCAGAGCATTTTTGCATATTATATACACGGTAAAATAAGTCCAGGGCACGGTTTTTGGTACACATGTCACATGTTTGTATAACAAATATAATGCTCATACATGTTACAGTACAATGCTGCAGCTGCTGCATGCACTGAATGTCCATATGTGAGACTCCGGCCTCTCCAGCTCTCAAGCTCAGAGCTGTCCGATGCCCAAAAGGGCAGGTCCCAAAAGAGAAATTCCTGGGCGCCACGACCACAGCGGTTGCCTGGGCCGCTATGACGTGGCTCAATGTGGCAGCAGCGGCAGCGGCAGCTATCCATCCTGGTACGCCGCAGCTTGCGCTGGAAGTTTGATGGCTGCGAGAGAGGGACAGCTGTAGATTCCGTCGGGTCCTCAGGTGAAATGGCACGTAGATTCTACGTAGATGAAGAATGATGAAGAGCTGCTCTATGTGTTTAAAACTGCAGAGATGCAGATGCGAAGCAGTTTCATGTCAAGGTTGCACCAGGATTGTCGGGCTTGTTGGAGAAGGTCAACTTGCAGTTCAGCAGAAGGCTTAGCTATGAAATGTGGGCTATGGGGCTGGAGGAGCGCACATGCGCTCCAAAAGAATACTATGGCAACTCAAGGTTATGCAAAGCTCTTGTCCCTTCAAGAGCTTATTGCTGGATCTGAGGTGCCCCAAGGCTCGGAACAGACCTTGGAACCCGGAATCCAGAATGGACGAAGGGGTGCTTTACATGTGAAATCCATTCGCGAATGTCCCAATATCAAGGGCAGCTAATCGTGCAAAAACAGGTCCTGATTGATTGAGGTTGGGTGAAACAGCTAGCTTTCAAGCAAAATTAACAATTTAGGGATTGGGTCCTTTATAGTATCAGTACATACCTTGATATGATATATTGTACCTTGTTTTAGATACATTCATGAGACTGCTTCAACCATTGAACGAAAAGAATGCCCAATCATTGCAGGAGCTGACCTCCGGACTCTTCGGTGCATTGGCACAGGCCGATGCGTTGCCACGGCGATGGCACTTGGATGGTCGTTGGGGCGCAGTGAGAACGACCGATGGGGATTCCAATGTGAGGTTGTTGCCGTTAACCCAAGAAGCTGCGGTGGCAGTTCGGAATTGTATGGCTGGCAAGCCATGTCACAGCAGATATTTGACGCCAAGTGTCCTGGAGTATTTGCAGAAGGAGAGGATCTTGGAGGTCGCAAAACTGAAATCTAGCGCAGCAAGCCAACCAGCTCTTTGTTTTTCCCTACAGCTTTAACCCCCAAACCTTCTTGGAGTAGATGTTCCCTTCCGCGGTTACAATTTCATAGGGATTCCATGAAGTTCCAAGATTGGTTTTGCAATGATGCGCCCACAGGAGAAGGTTTGCCTCACCAGCCTCCTGAGACCTGACTCAACCATTTCCAGTGACAAGCAACAGAATTTTCATTTGCCAAAAATCGAAGAGCCTTGGTATCTCAAGTTGAGAATGCTACTATATTTATCTTCAGCTGCTCATTTGTGGATCAAAATCAAAATAATTTGAATGTGCTAGCAGCTTCTGGTTTGATTCATTCGTATATGTATATCATAATATATATATATGTGATGTTTACGTGCTTTTCTCACTGGAGAATGATTGATTTCTGTTCGTTCCCCCATTTGGCTCAGGCTGTTTTGAATTTGCCGACATTCTCTAGCCATAATTGCTGTTTAAGAACAGTGTTGGACGGACTCCAACCCAGAATGCAAGCTCACAAAAGAGAATGCAGGACGTGGCTGTTTGGTTATTGTGATTCATTAATGCGTCCTTTGATAGTAACCTCAACAGCCAACCTCTGAACAGCCCTTGCCTTCTCCCAGGATCGTTTCACCTTTGCAGCGCCTTGGCGAAATCGTGGGAAAGGTGGGACCTGAACCACTCTGCAGTCACAATGCACTCGATGCTGCCCAGGCTTGGGAAGGGCTCTTACCACATCATACGAAAAGCAGTTGTATGGCCGGATATGGCCGGATATTGCCGGTGAAAAGCCATGGCAGGCACTATTTGAATTCATTTCATATATTTCAATTTATTTTAACAATTTCAACCGTTGAACTGAACAGACTGGAAATTGTCCACTGAGGAGTTGTTTGCCGGACTAGGAGGATTTCGCTTGGGCCTTGAAGCAATCGGAGGCGCAGCCGATGGACGGGCTGTGGGATATGGTTTTTGGGCGCGGCGAGGCTCGCGCCGCTTGGAATGAGGGGAGATTAGGACGCACTATGACACGGTCGAATGCATTCAAGATGTTGCAGTTTTCCTTGAACAAGTTTCATCAGGCTTACACCATGAGGTTACATGTTGAGTCGTGGCAGGGTGTGTCATTCAATATCTTACTTTGCCAAGCAGTGATCTTCCCATCTTGAGATTGTTGTAATTTGTAACAGTTTTGTATGGTTTTGTGCTTCACCCGGCAGGTCAATGTGTATTTGCGTCCGAGATCAACAAGCATGCCAGAGAGTTGTATACGAAGAACTTTCATCACGAACCTGAGGGTAGGGAGCTCAGCTTCCAGGTGGCAATACCACTGTGCTTCGTCTTGAACCACTCGCTAAGGTGACATTCGAGTGGTGCAAGATGTCCCTGATCACGATTTGTTGGTGGCTGGCTTTCCATGTCAGCCCTTCTCATCTTTGGGATCACAGCAGGGCCTTGCAGATGAACGAGGCGACGGTGCAAGTGCAAACACGCGGCTGATGGGTTAATGAATTGGTTGGTGCTGAGCTCATCTTCCATAAATTTGCATGGGTCATGCCATTCTGATGCGAAACAGTTTCTGTTGACAGCTGCAAAATCAGCATTTTGTATGCCAGCTCCTATTCCAAGATCTTCTTCGAGGCAAACTCTTTGAGCAAATTGTTCGCGTTCTACGACTACGTCATCCATGTTGCTTCTTGCTGGAGAATGTGCCCGGGCTTGCAGTGAGCAACAAGGGGATGCTTCACTGCAAATCATGTTGATTTCTCATCAAGTCTCCTGCATCCGAGCCAGCTTGCAGTGAATGATTCTCTGTTTTACAACATTGAAATCCTTTCCCTTTACAGAGTTACTGTTTGAAATCCCGCGATTGGCTCACCTGAGGAGAGACCTGGCAATCATTCGCGAAGCCTTGGAAGACGCTGGGTATGTTGTCTTTTGTGGTATAGCAACTTGATTCACAGTAGGTTTGCTGCAGAAGCTGCGGACTAAAAGACGTCAACAATCGTTCACTGACCTTCAAGCAGCCTGATGCATGTGGAGTCAGTTTCATGTACCTTTTTCATCCTTTTTCATCTTTTTCTGTGTCTTGAAAACAAAAGTCCAAGCGCTCCAAACTTTGCAAGCCTGAGGTGAACGCTCGAAATTTGACGGCCCAACAGCGGAAGCGCCTCTTCTTGGTTGGCTTTCACGGTCTGAAGCTGAAATCAGAGGCGTTGAACCCGTTCGAATTTCCTGATATGCCAGACATGGGACTGCTGGCAGAGGACCGTTTGGATTTGCGTCTGGTAGATCTGGTAGCTGGAAAAGTGGGTCCATTTGATAATCCATTTCCTGGAATAGAAAAACAACTATACCTTAAATCATAGAATCATAGACATGACATATCACTTCACTGATGGATTTTTCCAAAATCAAGGCACAGGCAGATGGAGCCTCGAAATCTCAGCGAGTGCCAGGACGTGCTGGACTTTGACCTGGCAGGTGACGATGCTCACAGCATCTCTGATCGACAGCTGGAGCAGCTTAGGCGGGCCTGGTGAGTTGGAGTCGGAGGGGTCCTGACATACTCCGGCGGCCGAATGTAGGAATACTTGGGAAAAATACGTACTATGAACAAAATACGTTTGGTTATCATGTTTCTAAACCTTTAGAGCTTTGGAAGTGATTTTCTTAGATTTTCTTATTACCAGTACATGTAGCAGCAGGCTATCCAGCCCTTTTTGGGCATCATATGGCATCGTGGAATTGTGCATGATCCTGGCATCGAATTCTCTGATTTGGAATCCTGATGAGATTTGGAGGACTCAGACGCGGATGTCTCGCACCCTGGCCTGGGCAGATCGAAAGGTGGAGACACTTATCGCGCACTACTCTGTGAGTGCCGCTTGGCACCGTTGTGATCATGGGTACCACGTCAGGCAAGTTGTAGACCTTTTTTAATCCTTTTTCGTGAATCTACAAGTCTACAAGTTTTGGGGATTTTGGGGGATCATCTATGTTTGAGCCGGAAACAGATGGTAAGCCCAGTAAGTTTGTTTGAGGTTGGCCGTGGACAATCACAGCTGGTTCCCAGATGGGCACCTTACAATCCACGGCTCTTCACACCACGGGAGTGCGCGCGGATCATGGGTTTTCCGGAGAGCTATCAGCTGGGGGATGCAATGGACCGACGTCAATGCAAGGCATTGTACCCATTGTACCCGGGTATTCAAATGGTTGCATTGGACCTGTGGCCACACAACGATTATGCTAAAGTTCCATGTTCAACCCTTCTTCAAGTTGCGCTTCTACTATCTTCTACTAAATTTATGATGGATGCGAGGTTGTTATTTGTCCACACTTGGAAGTTTCTCAAATGCTGTTTTAGCTTTCAGCCAAAGTAATCATCTTGTGCACTTGTGCTCAAAAAATCTGCTGGGTGATGATCTTGTGCCATCCATGTTTCCCACATGATCCCACATTTTCCCATCATGCCAGGCCTTTTCCTCCCAGTTTTACCCAGGTTGGGCAACGCCGTGTGTCCCCCTGTCATCGCTGCCTTGGCCGCCGCTTTGCAACGCTGGCGCCAGCTGCCTGGCAGAGCAGCTGCAAGGGCCATGGCCATCCAGGCCACCAGAAAGGCCATCAGCGCCTGATCCAACGCACTGAAATAAGTGTGTTGACGTTGGCTGCGTCAAAGACGCGGATTTGATATGGAAAGGGGGTTGAGCTTGGTGTTTGTGTACCAGTGCTTTTTGAAAACTCATGAATGATATATTATATGTTCCCAGCGCCAACAGTTAAACAGTTCCAAGATGTTCAAAGAAAGGCTGGTTGCTGTGTTTGTCATGGGACTGAAGCCCGTCCAAAGTTTGCCGAGGCCGAAGCCGAGCGAAGAGCCTTAGAGATGGCCAAAGAGGTCATCGATGAGCAGCTCAGTTCAGATTGAGAATGGATGATGGCCTTGGATGGCTACACTACAGTACCTTTCAAACCTATAATGCCATCCCACATATCCCACATTTGGGGGCATGGAAATCCACAATGAGTTGTACCAGCTTTTTTTCCCACGTCTTTAAGTGGGGTTCTTGTTTCTTGTTCGGTATCCCGTCCGCCATCCGCCGTGCACCGTCCCCTCCTCGACCTTCCTCTTTCACACACAACTCTTCCACACACCTCTTTCACACACAATCTTGTCACATACAACTTTGAATGGTAGGCGTGGCACTTACGGCTGGCTCTTGTGCCTTTTGTGTGGCAAGCGTGGCACTTAGTGACACAATGTAATGTGACACAACTGTGTCACACACAACTCTTTCAGACGCAACTCTGTCACACACAACTCTTTCACGCACAGCTTTGCCACACATAACTCTTTCACACACAACCCTTCCACACGCGACTCCTTCACACACAACTCTTTCACACACAAATCTGTCACACAATTCTTTATATTCTTGTGGCCGACCTCAATGTTTGCTCGATCTTCTGCCCTTACATGGAAGATATCTCAGAGGCCCCATTCTGACAAGCGTGTACAGAAGCTAGTCCGATTTGAGGACCATATTGATGTTTTCTTGGGAGATGATGACGACATTCATATGACCTGTTTCCATGTTACGCAAGCTACCATCCGGAATTGGTCACAGAAACCTTGGAGTAGACATCGCATTAAGAAGTCAGATCTATGTCCGGCTCCGCTGTCGATTGCGGCCGTGTCGAGCCGACTGGATGATGCTCATTCTGCAGCTGCATTTGAAGGTATTGGTAGTTTAGACGACCTTTCCCTTATGCAAATTGCGCAATGTAAAAATGATATCTATTCAGGCCAAGAGTCTCAAAGGATTGAAACCTTTTCGAATCCTGCTGGTATCCCAAATGAACTCCAGAACAATCAACAAGAAACAGAGTCTGGAGGACATAGAAATGAGGATTCTGGAACGGAGCTGTCGCTGTCATCCAATTCCGAAATCCAACCGCCCTCACCAGATGAGAATCGGCAAGAAGTCATTCTCTATCATCTGCAGGACGCCCCAATTCGCACCTTTTTGGAGTGGACTGACTATGATCGTATGATTCAGGAAATTGGGTTTCACTTCTCTGTCAACCCGGCATCTGTTGTAGATGCGTATGAAGTTAACACACCACTTCGAGGGATTTCAGATGATGCTGTTCCCATTATTGTGCATCTTTTTCCTGATATTGCCGTTGGACAAGTTGCCAAATTAGTACTCATTGATTTGGAATTGCATGGACACAGGGTTGAATCACATTTTCGTGCGGGACCAGTCACAAGAAGATTTGTGATGGCGGTGCCTGAATGGTCTGATCGAAATTCAGTCCTTATGCTTGCGAATGTCGACCTCTATTGCCACCTGGAAGGGGATCGGTGTTTAGTTTGGCTTGACAACTTCCGATGGCCTGATTATGATTTGACACCTCGGCGCATTGCGCATGGTGACTATATTCGTATTGCAATTCCACCCACCGAAAGGTTTGATTGTCCCACTGTTCAGATGATACAGTGGACTCAAGCAGGTCTATCGGACCAAGCGATTCTTGACCATGCAACCGACCATGAAGCTTTGTCTGGATACTCACCTAGTCTGCTTTCGGAAGATGCGGTTCAGGCCCTTGCGGTGCCAATTGCAGAGAGTGACGATTCAGATGTAATGCATGCAATGCAGACGCATGTTGATCATGTGTCTTACACTCAGTCTAGCTCATCGAGTGACTGGAGTCCGTACATCGAAGGTTGGAACATTGATTTGCAGCGAGTTGTTGAGCCTATTGTTCAAGAACGTTGTCCGATGGAAGAATTTGAACTTTCAGTTTTGACATGGTTCATTGACTGCAATAAGGAATCAGCCTGTTTGAAGTCCAAGCTTGCCTTTATCGGCAATGCTCCGCAGGATTGGGAGGAAGATGTTTTGCATCCTTGGAGATTTGACATTGACAAGACGGAAAGGACCTTTATTGAATGTGTCTTGCCGTCTCCACCCAAAGCTGACATTGAAGATCACATCACGCACATTCTGATTGCTCAGAACTTGGGATCTTGGAACTTGGCCCTAGTCTCTCTTGAATTCTGGCACCCTACTGAAAGGGAGGTGATTGTGCGTGCTGCTGTCGCGCTTCCTGCAAGAGCGCAGAAAACACATTTGATACAGGCTATTCCTATTTTGAGTCGAATCAGTGACGAGCGCATTGACTGGCAAAGTGCAGGGCTGGCTGATCAAATGGTCACAAGACATGGGATGTGCATCCGAATCAAGATTAGTCCAGAAGACAGTTTGCCATTACATGATGTCACGAACCTGATGCAAAGCAATTTGCATAGGCCATCTCTTGCGCAGGTAGTTGAGAAGGGACATTGGTTACCTCCAGAGTTACCTCGTCAATGTAGTTTGACAGACGAGTTCCTTCAAGCAGTAGCTGCAGTGCAGGAAGCTGAAAGGATGGGACCCCCCATCCCAGACCCACTTTCCATTGATCAACAGCCTGAAGTCATTCGAGATCTTTGGGAACGTTTTGTGGATTTTGCTGCAGCTCCTCCAGTCAATAGCCAGAGTCACTGCAGAGTTGAGTCATGGTTTCTACATCACACATTGCGCACTCGTGGACATGAAGCCCGGATCACTCTGTTGTCTGAAGATTTCTTGAGTTGGCGAGGTAGCTTGCTTGCTACTTGGCAGGACAAGTTAGTTGATTCACAAGACGTTGATATTGCAATTGTTCATCCCACCACAGAAGATGCTGCAATTGGGATCATTGCTCAACCGGTCATCACGCAGCAACCTATAGCTGAATCGCGCTCAGCTATCCTATCTGTTTACGACTCTGACGAAGATGCTGAGCGTACACCATATACTTTTGCGCAGGTTGTCCCAAGGCAGATCAACCTTGATGCAATCGTTGATTTACTGCAGCTCCAGAGCGACTGTGACACAATGAAACTGCGCAACCACTGCAGTTTGTGGTTTGGAAGAATCCCCATTTCACAACGCAGCACGATTAATGTCTTCCATGGTCATGCTTTCAGGTTGGTTGTTAGTCGTGGGCTTCCAGTGAGTGTTCAAGACCTTCTCATGATGGATCAAGAGCAATTGCAAAGTACCTTGCGAAGGGTCATGCACCAGGAAATTTACATCCGTCCACAAGATCCTACTTTTTTGGTTGATGCAGCTCACCAGCCGACACGCTTGTCAGGGGTGGAAGTCTCCGCTGCTCCACCGCCGTGGATGCGTTGGTTGGATATGTTAAAGCAACGTTTTGACAGGCATCAAACCATTAATGATCTTGATGAAGGACCAGTGCTCCATGTTAATGCCTGGTATTTGAACATTCCGAACTTTCACTGCCGCTAGCCTGGGGATGTGAAACTGCTGGCAGACCCGCTGTCTTGGCGAACTGATTTGGTGTTCCATTGGAGAGATCATTTAGTCAGGGCATCCCCTGCAGAGATCTTTACAGTTTTGTCGCCACAGTCAGATGCTGACACGCATGTACTTGTAGTACAGGGTCTTACCAGTGGTAATCAGGCAATTCTTGTCTCGGTAGGCGGTGTTCCAGCATTAGGACTTGCTCCCAGGCAATTTGCACATGTTTTCATGGGACGGATTCAGGTTTGTGAAGTTTTACGCCTTGCTGTTCCTTTGGACCATGCACATCGGCCAGCCACAGTGCGTTTCCATGGTCAGACTTATCTACCAACTGAGTTCTTCCTGCTTCGCTCAGGGGACCACATTTCAGTTGTGATCTCTGACAGTAATGTTGATATATACACTGATCAGATTGCGGATGATTTTAGCATGTTTCAAACCATTTTGCGGCCCCAATCAGTGCCGCCACAACCCACTGTTTGTAAGCCTGCTAATTTTGATGAGCCTGATGATTTGCCAATGACTTTTCCTGGACAAGGGTGGCCGGCTAGACGTAGACCACTTCATGATGGTGAAATTGAGTGGAGTCTTGAGCTGGGAGAGTTATTCAGGGTGCATGGTGAACTTCAGGTTTGGGATGAAGAAGTTATGATGGATATCATGACGTGGTATGTGGATCATCTCCGTCGGCCTACGTGCCGCCGACCTCGGTTGGTACGATTGGTTGGACAGCCGATCACATGGATTGATGAGTTGCGTAATGCGTGGATCGATCTCATGAACCCTCGTAGGCCTTTCTCGATTTTCATTGTGCGCCCACGTCCTCCTCAATCCCGTACACAGCGCACGGTTTGTCACATCCTCTTAGAGCAAGAAGGAGCAGAGGATCGTGCAGCTGTAATATTGACCGCACTCTTTGAAGGACTAGCAAATGATGGCATGGTTCAAGGTGCATTTTCGATTCCGAGCCGGACCAATTTGCCACACCTCATCCGTACCATGGAAATAGTACATGTTTGTGCTGGTAGTAGATGCTTCTTAACCCATTTAGAGCAGCCTGTACCACCCGATGCGTGGATAGATGTAAGATCTGGACAGAGCATTCGAGTGCGAGTTGAAGAAGTTGATACTGATGGTACTGAAGGAATTATTGAAGATATTGGTCGTTTGCATTTTGAGGGTTCATCTTTCATGCAACACCATGCTCATGTTTCCTCCCATTCGCTCTCATCACACCCAGAGACATCTATGTGTTTGGACAGTGCGTTCCAATTCAACCCTGATGCTCCAGCCTTTGATCCACAGAGGCCTTCGATTGCTCTGCAAGTGGATTTTGTGAAAGATGTATATCTGCTTTGGGAGAAATTTGCCTGTGTAGGGAATGACGGTTTGCGAGCCACCACATTCCTCACATGGTTTGTCTCCCCTGGAACCGGTGAGGGGAGGTGCCTGTTTAGTCGCAGGGTTACTTTGTCCTCAGATTTCACAGCATGGACCTCGGTATTGCGAAGCCATTGGTCAGACAGATGTCATCCAAATGAAGAGATC